CGGGTAACGGGGGAACCGGGGCGGCTGGGGGACATTCGGGGTGGCCGGGGCTCCCCTGCCACCTCCCCTCCGTGCACTTTCCTTTCTCCGGTTGTGGATGTCACCCCACCTGAGACCTCCTCTCCCCGTCGGGTGTTCTGCTCCCCACCGAGCTCGCTCGCTCTCGATGTGCTCCCCCCCCCGCCAGAGAAGTGCCCGGAATTCAGCTGAGTTTTAGCCCCCTCTAATTTTTACTTTTCTTGCATTTCTTGCACCTACCTGTTGCTGGGGGTGGCAAGCAGCGCCGAGAGGGCGCTGGGGGCTGTCAGGATGAATGGCGGGCGGCCTGCCTGCTGCAGGACCAGTAAAACAGGGTTAGAAACGCCGGAGGAAACTGGCGGAGCGCGCCGGCGCTCGCAGCCCCGCGCGGGCACGGAGCCGGCGCGTCCGTGCGAGCTGGGCCGCTCGCTGCGGTCACACGGAGCGTGTGAGGAGCTGCTCTGGGACAAGCAACACGGTGCTCTGGGCTGCTTGTCGAGCAGGTGTTTTCTGTATGGGTTGGGGACGGTGATGCCGTGTCCTGAGCACTCCTGTGTGGAGCAAGGCCTGGGGTGCGGTTGCACCTTTGTCATATTCAGAAGGCAAAGAATTTCCTTCTGAGTGTCAAGCAGCTCCAAAATACAACCGAAAGGTAGGTTTGAGGGCAGCGAGTGCAGTGTTTTTGTCTTACACCCCTCACTTCAAGGGCAGGATGTGTCTTGAGCAGCGGGAAGGGCGGTGACCTCCCTGGGAAGGGGGCTCTGCTCCCGTCGCTCCGCAGGGCTCCGTGCACAGACACTGATTAATTCAGGAATGTCAGCCTTAAACAGCGCGTGGGAGGTAGCCGTTGCACAAACAAAGCAATATAGAGAGGTAAGGAGTTGAGAAATATCTGACCTTTCCTGCCCAGCATGGTTTCTAAGAGACGCTTTTGGCTGCCTGAGATAATGCTGCTTTTTATTTACCCAGTGAAAACATGTGTTTGTTGTTGTGACGAAGATGGGGATGGTCTTCCCGGGAAGTGGCCTTCTCGGGGTCTGCCGGCCCATGGGGGAGGCTTCTGTGCCAGCTCTTGCACCATCCTTCTTGGGAACAGGTCAAACCAGCTGTGAGGGCAGCACTGCTGTCACCGCGATGGGCTGCCTTGTCACCAGCCGGGGACCCTCCTTCACCAGCCAGGTCCTCTTGGAGCAGCGAGGGCCCAGGCTCTGCTGGAGAAGCCCCGTTCCGGCTCCAGGCACCAAGGAGACCCTGGGATGGTCACATCCTGCGTGCATTCCCGTTGCTGGTGCTGAGCCTCCCAGGAAAAGTCTCCTAGGAGACTTTTTTTGCTCTGGCCGCATGTAATTCCCTAGTGATTTGGAGTGAGCGGTGTTGGGGCTGGCTGGGAATCGCTGCAGGATTTATGAGTGTGTCCTGCTGCCTGGGTGTCTCCAGCAGGATTGAGAGCTGTACGTGGGCTGTGCGGAATCTCCCGAGCAAAGCGGGAGCTGGGAGGGAGGAGGATTTCGGAGAGGTATCGGGAGGGAGCGGGTGGACTTTGGTGCCTCGCTAAGCCCTTGTCCCCCAGGACTTTGCTGAGGAGCAGAAGTTCTGTTCCCGTTTTCACGTTGGACTTCAGCCTGGTGCCGGGTGCGTGTTCCCCTCGGCCCGGGTGACCCCCGGGACGTGCCGGCCGGGCGCTCCTGGAACGGGCGGCTCTGGTTCAAGGCTCCCGTTAATGCCTAACAGCCCTGTCTGGCGGCAGGGTGGCCATGGGGGGCCAGGCTGCTTCCTCCCCGCCCGTGTGACAGGGACAAGGTGTTTTGTTCCCAAGGCGTTAGGTGAAAACAGCTGGGAACGCCCCCTTGTCCTTGGCAGCCAGGGGAGGATCCATCCCTGCTCTGTCCACTGGGACAGTGGGAGCGGATTGAGAGCCCTCGGGATCGTCACGTGCGCTAGGGACAAAAGTCCTGTTATCCCAGGGGAGTCCTGGGCTTTCTAGCCAGGGCGCTTTCAGGACACATGTGCTCGGTGATAGCTGGAGGACAAAGTCCGGCTGGATCAGATGGTTCCTCTCTGTTGGGAACTGACACGCTCGTGGCACCTCCTATGCCTGCCTGTATATTTGAGGATGCTCTGTCCTGCTTTGGGGACATGGGCTGGATCTAAGGAAGACGAGGACTCTGTGGCGGGGGTTGGGGACAGCTGGCTGACCTGGGCATGGTGTCCCCTGCCCTCTCGCAGGCCTCACGGGAGGGCTCTGCTCGCTGCGCGTCCCCAGACCCTCTTGACCGGCTTCTCCTCCGTCCCGCCGTGCGCGTCGCGTTCCCTGCCGCGTGCCGGGGCCCGGAGCCGCAGCTGGGCTTTCCTTGCTCCATTGGCTCTGGCTACGTGACCGCTTGCTGCCCAGCGGTCACCAGCCCCAGATGGGGGACGTGCTGGGGCCACCCATATGTCACAGAGCCAGCACTTGCCCCAGGCTGCTGTGGCCTTCTGTGGCTCTCTTTTGGCTCGCTTAGTGTTCTCCACGAGCTGCAAAAAATTAGAGGCCGGGTATGTGCTGTTTGGGGGACCTTCTTGTGGGGGACAATGTGCTTTTGAGTTGTCATTAAGCGACTTTGAGGTCTTGCAACCCTGCAGGTGCAAAGAGGATGGGCTGGGGATGCGGCGCGTGTGAATTGAAGGCGCCGGTGGCTTTTCTGCCATTGCAGAAACAGGAAGTTGTTTGGGCTTGTGAAAGGCTGTGAGCATCCAGCTCCCTCCCGCGAGCGTTTCTCAACAGGTAGCAGGAGGCTCTGCAGCTGCGGGCAGGGCTGCGGCTGGGCGTTGGGGCAGGAAAATGAGGATGAGCGGGATGGGAGACCCCTTGTCCCACCCGCACCAGGCAGCAGCTCTTCGCTGCAGCGGGAAGCTGTTTGGTGCGCTGGAACGGGAAGGGTTGCATGGAAAACCAGCCTGGAGGATGCTGCATTCCTCCGTTGAGTGGAGGGGCTGGGAGAGGTTTCCCCGGAGGCTCCTGCAGAGCCAGCGTTGCTGGATGGGGAGGCAGAGGCCGTGGATCCCGGCGCGGTGCCGGGGGCTCCGCGAGCGCGGCCAGGGCTTCCCGGGAACACACTGGGCTGCCTGTGCTCCCCGCTGGCCGCCTGCCGGCCTCCTCCCCCTCGTCCTCCCATCCCCCTGCCCCTCGGCCGTGCCATCCCGGGAAGGGGCTCCGGTCGCGCAGGGATGCGGGGCCGCTTTCCCAGGCCGTCTGCACCCAGCTGGGTGGCGTTCCTGGTGCTCCTCCCGGCGGGAGGAGGAGATTTGCATGTCTCAGAGTCCTGTTTGCTTTATGGGGCTGGACGGGCCTTTATTTGCCTAACGAGGCTGCAGATGCTGCCAGCAGGGCCCGCGGCCAGCCGGGCGCTTCTCCCCGCGGGGCCCGGAGCTCCCACGCTCCGTGGGAGCTACCGAGGGGGCCATGTCGGCGTCCTGCACCCGCAGCCCTCGGCGCTGTTCCCGTGCTGGGGCTGGATGTGACCCGGAGCCGCTGCCCCCAGGGCATGAGGGCTCTGCAGAGGAGTGCGGTGGTGTCTGGGGCTCACTCCGGCTTTCCTATAGGGAAGGTTTCCTCAAGCTGGAATTGCTTGAGGTCTAGGAAGTTGGAAAAGGAGAGGAGGTTTTAGGAGGGCTTCCGGGCTCCATTCCTGCCTTCATGACTGCAAAACCTGCCGTGGAGTGGTACATGCAAGTAAAAGTGCAGGGAGGGGTGATGCGCTGCCCTGAATAACACCACGGTTTGGGCTCCTGAGAGCCCTGGGGCCCTTGTGCGAGCACGTAGCCGCTGGGCTGGCAGCGCTGGGAGCAGAGCGCTGCCCGCCGCAGCCCG